CATACAAATAATAAAATTCTATTCTATTCTATTCTATTCTATTCTATCATCCAGGTCATCGTTGTCCCAAAGGTGCTTTTTTTCTGATTTAAGGCATCATTTTTTAGGAAAGGGGGGGGGGTTGTACTGGTATATCATGCTGCAAAAAGCACTCTTGGGGAACTAAGAAAAGCAGCCTGTGTTTTAAGATGTATGGACTTCAGCTCCCAAGAATTCCTCAACCAGCAGCTGACTTGGTAATCTTAAAAGTTGCCAAGTTTGAGAAACTCTGCTGCATCTTTTGCTGCTCTGTACATACAGCTAGGAGTTACCTTTTACTTATAGATTAACCTTCCTCTCCCATGTGCCTCATTTCCCAAGCACAGATCAAAGAAATATTTTAAAATAAATGAGAAACGTTCTGAATGCATATTGAACAGATGGAGGAAAGATATAGTATACCTGTTCTGGAGACCTCGGCTGTTGAATTATTTTTCAAGACATCCTGAAAGAGTCTCTCGACTTCCAACAATTGCAAATTCAACAGGTACATTTCGGGAGCTTGGATTGCTTCTTCCTTCCCTGCTGCAATGCTACTTTCTGGATTGAGCCGCACTTGGACCAGCCTAGCGCCAAGCGAACTACAATTCCCAGCAGGCTTTGCTAGGAATGCTCCACACAGAGAGGGGGAAAGTCTCCTGCCTCTGCCTTTCTGAGCCGAGGGCGGAGGCGTTCCTTTCCTATCCCCCCCCCGATAAGGTGATGCATTGGTATCTTCCTAAGTCAGAGCGGTCTGGCAGGAGAAGCGGCCGTTGAGGGTGGATTTAGTCCGGCGGCGGTGCTGTTTCCTTTCCCGCCGGGATGCAGAGCTCGGATCTGGGCAACAGGGAACAGGGCAAAATCTGGCACCGCAGGCCCTCCCCGGCAACACAGCAGGGGTAACTTTCCTTAGACGCAGCATCTCTGGATGCATTTTTTTAGCAGCTGTTCAACCGTGGAGCTTCCCTCTTCAGGCATAGTCTATCTGTTTCCAGCAAGAGCGACGCTTTTTCGTCACCTTATGCTCACAGGCGTT